GTGCCTACAATACTTTCTGAAGGCACAATGGGGTGCAACCAATTAAACTGCTATAATTCTCAAATTTCGCACCCGATCACATGATTCTCTTTCATAATACAAAAATCGCAACGCCATTGTGGCAGTTTTAATAAGCTTGATGTCGACTCAAGGTCATAGCTACAGGTTTATGTTTGCGTCATCGGCTCATAACTTCCTTTCAAATTCGATGATCCGGACAGTCATCGGTTGACAATGAAGTCATGCGCAGAAGGGGAGCGCCGCCTACAGGAGGTTACTTTGTCTGTATTCCGGACGTACCCAGTATATAACAGTATACGTATTGTGTACAATTGAGTAATCGACCCAAATATCACGGGTTGTTTATCACGGGTGTTGTGGATTTGGCAAGAAACCAGGTTTTGGGTGAAGGTCAGCCCGAAGCAGTCCAGACGCATTCGGAGCTTTGTTTTTCAAAAATTGGATGGTGCATCAGCGGAAGGGCCGAGGGGGAAGCTAGGCGTCGCTAGGACATCCTCATTTCCACCTGTCTGCATTGGGGAATCCTTTGCCTGTCAATACTACAGTGGGCAGTGGGTATGATGCAAACACGAGCCCAGAACTGTCTGACATTGCGTTGTGTATTTACTCTGGAGCAGGAGACAATAATAGTATTTTATACACGATTGTAGTTTAGATTCTGCTGCGTTGTCAGCATGGCTATTGGCAAGAGATTGCCCAGTGGTTATACGCGGGCGCGTCATATCAAGGAACGGGTTTAACTATTCTCGACGTTCTACAGAACGTGGGTCCCGCGTGCAATGTTTTTGTATACTACACACGTATGGTACTTGAAGCGTCATTGAGCCTTGCTTAATCGACTGGCTTGCGAATTTCATAACTTTTCTCCTGGCTTTACCGCGCGGTTTACAGCGATTATGCCAAAGTACAAAGATAAGAATGGACATGATTGTCAACAATACAATCTGACAATATCTCCCCGAAATCAGATGGAAATGAGCTCGCTAACTAAATAACCAATATGTCGTTTGTTTCAAACAGATGATGAGGCACGGGTGTCTCAGTCGTATAATACGCAGCAGTTCGCTGGACAGAGTTGCGTCCCTTGGGTGTTCACTGAAGCTGCGATCGTTGGCTTAAATCCAGGATTTAAACTGATTATGTTTCTTGACTTTCTATACACCATATCAGTGGTCGTGGGTTTCACCAACGTGATAAGCGTTTAAGATCTGCATCAATTCTGGCTTTCCTTCAACATCAAACTAACACGCTGTGATTTAAAGATGTCCGTATTTTTTTCTGAGCTTCCTATCTCTCGCTAGCCCTGAAGTTTCATTGCGAATTGAATTAATAAAAAAATCCCGTATCTAAATTTATCCCGCCGCTATAGAAAATTATGCTACGATGTGATAAAAAAAATACTACTAACAATGCACACTGGTGCCAAGTATTTTCACCCATTGTGTAACTTATTTTATGATATTTTAAAGTTTGAAACACTTGGCACCAGTCTTTAAATTGATTTATGACGTAGATCGGGTCTCTTTGCTTCGGAAACTATTTTTTTGATAAACATAGCTGAAGTAAGACGAAGCTGTCCTGGGTAGGTTTTGAGTGTGCAATGGCAGTAGAGAGCGGACGGGCGAAATAATAGTATAAAAAACTGTTTTCACCAGTTGTATAACTTATATCATGATATTTTAAAGTTTAAAACATTTTTTTTTCTCTTTTATTTCGCCCGTCCGCTCTCTTTCTGGTTGGGGTTAGAGGTAAGAAACACATAAAGATCATGGATGGCTTAAATAACTTTAATAGTCGGGTCTTTGAAAGGCAGTCAGAAGTGATACACATAAGGAAGAGAATATATGGCTGTCAACTTCTGTATTATGAGGATCACACCGTTTCGGAGTATATGCTTACTCCTTCATCACCCCCCACCCCCCCCCTTTTTATTTCTAAAAAAATCTTTATTTCTGTATAAATTCCCACCAAAGACAATAAATAGATCTTAATTGTGCACCCCCCACCCCTTTTCAAAAAAGCTGTATCCTCCCATGCATATACCCCGAAATGTTGTGTTCATCATAATAAAGAAGTTGACATCCATATATTCTCTTCCTTAACTTTAATAGTGTTCAAAGCGGCGTTAAACCCAACTCGCTCACGCATTCAAGTAGAGGACAATGAAAGACGTTACCTAATACTAAGCAAACACTCAGGGAATGTATAGATAAGTGGCAATTTGGGTTAACTTACCTGACGCCAGATAATCAGGATTTTATTTTAGACTCGTGTTTTTATTTAGTGTTTTGTTTTTGTGTAAGCGAAGTTAAACCTCGAGTTCTACAGACTGACGCGCTTCTATAAAGCACCTTGGACATCGGCCAAGGTATTGGCGGGCATTTCTTGACAGATTGTGTATTACCTGCTGGAAGCGATCCGTCAGTTGGGTTAGGAACCACCTGTCGTGTTCTGCAGGGTTACGCTGTATAACGGGGTATATACATTTCAGGAAAGACGCGAGTGTAGTTTTTCCAATGGACCCTGTTAGGGGTTTCATATAACGCTAATATCGATCATCGTGGTATGGTTTAAACCCTTGTTTCTTGTCAAGATTAGGGATTTTGCGTTTGAACACCTGGGGAATGCCAGGTGCTCAGTACGGAGTAAACCCGTGAAGATCCCGGTTATAGGTCTTCAGGAACCCATGCTTGTCGCAAGAGGCGATGGACGCAATAGGGTGGACAGGCTCGCTGAACTTGGTGGATGCATGTCATCGTATCCGGATTGCGTGGATCGATGCTTATTTAAATCACTGGATTGTCTGGTCCAGATTCGATTATTTACAGACCGCCATCGTTTAGCTTGAGTATTGCTGAGTGCGGCATTAAAAAACAAACAAGCATCACGGAGCATCATTTTCCGTTTGTTTGTAAATTGTATGAACACCTTGCCAATATATACCTATCACATTTTTTTCCATCCATCAATCGCAACATTTATGATGCCTATGTCTTTTGCAACTGTTCCAGTAATGAGAACTTTAGCTACTTAATCTACCATGGAATGAATGTAAGAAAGTCAAATACATCATATTATGCAATATTAGACTTAGCGGTCTATGTCTTGTACAACACGTTCTTGGTCCCTGAGATGGAATACAGAAAGTACAGACAGGAATGTCAAATCTTCTGACGCGTCTCATTCCTCATGCATTGAAGCAGTACTGACTGCCGTGTATGCATGCCTGCTTGCACAGGGTTGGCGAACAGTGTTTCACTGTTGTCGGTAGTCACGGTGTTTCATATGCGATGCAGTGCTGATGCATGCTTATCCGTGATCACGAACACGAGCTGCACAACTGTTTTTAGACAAGGTGGTACAACGTACATGTAGGCTGGTGTCAGGTTTTTGTTAACAGCGTTTTGGTCGTTTCAAACATGCCGCTTGAACGAATTATTTTTTGGGTCCATAACATTTTGATTTTGTCCGGCCTAACATCCGGTTTTAGTGTTAGTATTGTGTTGCTTTTGAGGGAACACTGATCACAACCTGCCTGATCTATGCAGCGATGTTCGATTACGAGTTAGTTGTAGATTTCACACAATTAAATAGAATAACAATTAAGATGTCATTTACATATTTTCTTGTCTTAAGCGGTACATTCGATCCCACAATCATATATTATATGTGATGGCTGTGACTCCCCGTCACACGCAAGGACTGTCTCCCTATACGTGAAGCACTCAGGTGTGACGTCACAGCAGGTGAGCCAAGGCTTATCTCCCTTGCGTGCCCGTAACCGCAGTGAAGTGGAGTGCACTGCACTTAAACCCGTGACCCAGAAGCACAAAAACTTATCTGATATCTACCTACTTTATCCCAGTCAGGTTAATGTAGATACCACCTTTGTTTTGACTACATGGCCCGTAACGTACTGAGGACATTGTCTCTCATGGTATTCAACAAAGAGAAATCAGAGCATAGAGGAGGCACAGGTACGGGTGTCCCAGTCATCTTATGCGCCGCAACGCCAGGAACCTCACAAGCCCAAAACATAGAACGGCCTTGGGGTACGGGTGGCCCAGTCGTCTCAAGCGCCGCAATTCGCTGTGCGTCCCTTGGACTCGCCTGAAATCTATGATTGTGGGATCGAATCCCGGTTCGCCCCGATTAAGTCTCTAGGTTTGTCAGCACCATACCCGTGCTCGTGAGTTTCACCAAGATGGTAAACGTCTGCGACCTGAATCACTGCGGGCTTTCCACCAACATTAAGCTGACGCGCCGTGATATAACTGGAATACTTTTAAATGCGGCTTTAAACCCAACTCACTCATTCACAGAACGGCCATGGTAAAGTTTTATTGACAGTGGTTATATTTCTCGCGTATGCAGAGGTATATATAGTAACTGCTGAAAACAACAACGATGTAACAGGGGAGTAAATAGCTGTCAGGTCCTTTTGACCCAGGGCTTTACATTGCAAACATGTAGTTTTACATAATCGAAGGCTTTCTATAAGTTTACAAATGCAACATTTAGCTGTTTCCGCTTTTAAATCCAACACTTTAAATAATAGAGTGTAAAGCAACCATATGCCCTGTAGTAGAAAATCCAGATCAGACACCTGCTTGCCTGATATTTTGTCCTTCAGCTGCATCGGAGTATCTTTTAGGCAGTTACGTTTTGGTGTATCAAAGTCAGCTAACTTTCGCTTAGGACCATCATACATAAGTATGAAGTTTTACTGTAGGCCCGCCTTGATTTAGCGGGCAGTGGTAGGCATCAACAATACACTCTCAAATCCCCGTACTAATGTGTGTTAAGACTGATCTCAAACAAAACGCCTTGCCGTTGTTTCTTCCTGATGAATACCAAGTATGCAATGGAGCAGATACTTAAGAATGTCGTTTTAATCTGGCCATTGGCCTGCCAGTTGAAGTTTTCATACGGCAGATATCAGAAGACCCTGGTTCTAAAATGCTCGTCATCTGTTGCAGATATTCTACATCTTGCGCAATTTCCTATGTGGCCTTTTGGATGGATTTGAGGTGATCGTGGACAAGTGGCCCGAGTGGACATGCATAATCCTGAGAGCTACAGACACTGACCGTGCACCTGCATACTTCAAGCACTACTACATCTGTCATGCGCGGTCAGTCAGTGCGCTCAAGTTCTTTATGCAGAGGCCAGGGGTGATCGACTGGACGCGTGAGGCAACGTTCACAGGTAGCTTCACTTCCTTACAGTTGTGGTTTGGTGTGTTATTTTAGGTATATACTGTAACATTACAGTTCAGACAGACATGTATTCAGTGAAAAGGACTCAGCCCATCACACGTTCACAAACCTGTGTACTTCTTCCAGCGCATGGTGTTAAAGTGTGAATAGATTGATTTGGGTGACACTATATCAAAAATCGGTTTAGTAATCTTAACCTATTTACGTAATAGAGGAAAAAACCTTTATTTAATAATTACGCGCCATGTCGTGAATTTAACATATTAACAAATGTTGTGAGTGACAACACTACGTTTTGTTTTTTAACCAATGCACTTCTCTCCAATACATTGTCACCATAATGACATGATATTTATCGTCCACATTAAACATATTTTATTTCCCACAAACGTAACAAAATATTAATTCTCATTGCACTTTTTCATATCTACCTGTTTCAAAATTATGACATCTAAATCTGGATAAACAGAATCACACCTGTGGTGAGTGCACAGATACCTCTCAACCTTTAACAGAGATTTATATTGTTTGTAGTGAATATATTTTGTTGCATATTAATGCCATTCTTGTTGAACGTTGTCAAGTAGTCTTTGCCTAAAACGGGATACACTTTAAATGTATCTATGTCCCAATATCTTGACTGATCCCATCTCCCCGAGGTAAAATTGTCCCCAAGCCTATATCAAAGCCTACTGGTAAGCAATGACAAGCTGAGTTGTGACCTGGCAATTAACCCCGTATGACTATGTATGAGGTCCTCCCACTGGCGCGTACAATTGTGAAGGAAGGGGTAGCGGGTGGTCGGCTACAAGATGGATAAGTGCGTGTCTCGGCTAAGAATTCTGGTACCGACTTGTCACTGACATCTTAATAGTCTTATGAGCAACACCTGCGTCCACGGGAGCGTGGTCCGTTTCATGGTACATCATGCGTACACCCTCTCTACATATAACACATCAATGTTTGCCCAACTTCTGTGCACCGCCAACTTGTCTAAAACGCGTTTTGTGAGTTGGTTCAACTTATTCTGGATTACCAGTCGTTTCCTTCCTTTCAAACCTACTTTTCTTGGCTCGATCGTGGCACCACAAGTTTAGAAAACGAGTTGTGTCCCTTGTGATGAAAACGCGATATCCAATCAGATCACTGTTCTTATTTCGAATGGCTACACAAAGATGGCGGCTACCATAGCAGACCTGATCAATCAGCTATCAATCAACCAAAAGATTCGAGATTTTATCCCTGACGAACAAAATGATTACCACGGTAAAGATGCTTATTACTGCGGTATTTCTCTCTTATAATAGCATACAGACCAAACAGTTTCAAGTAACACTGCACATCGCAATAACATGAAAATCTCAGCACAGGCCGTCTAAAAATAGCACTGCGTCTCAGTCACTGCGATAAGCGATCAGTTGTTCGAGTTAATAAACAATAAAGTTTGTACTCAAATATATAAAAGTTCTTGGAGGAGGTGGTTGAAAACTTTGCACCACTTGAAAATATTTTCCTTTGCGTAATTTTCGGAATAATTTCAGCGCAAATTGAACAGGCGATGGCTGTTGCGACAGCAGAGACTACGTTTTCGGAACCGGATGAAGATTTTGTAAAGCTTTTCTGATTGGACTATTATGTGCGATAGTCCCCCTATTATAGAAAAGTACTCTTGAAATGGCATGTGTGAAAACTAGACTTTGATATAGGCAAGTGGACACTCTTGCCTCGGGAAGATAGACTAATCCATACATTTCAGTTCAAGCGGCTTTTATCATTTTGTTGGACGTTTTGTTCTGTAGTCATGAAAGTTGATAATGTTTTAACTGCTGTAGGCGTCCCTACTGATCTGGTCCCCTTCCTGAAGGACTACTGCCGGAAACAAAATGGTCAGCTGAAAAATGTCCAGTCGCGGTTCATGTATGCTTGGACCAAGGCCGAGCCGCCACAAGAACCTGAGTAAGTCCCTTCATTCACGTCATGTCTTTCCCCTTTAAAAGTGTGTCCTTATTACCCGATACATATGGATATGTTTGAAATAACTAGGAAGTACCAACAGTACACACATGAGACCTAATGGATTTGGGGTACTTGGCTTGCCCGATACTTACCCGAGTACCATTTAGTATATTGGCAATGCCACTGATGAATGAACGTCTGTTATTGCAGCGTTCCCGAGGGACTGCAGCTGACCACTCTACAAGACAACCATGTCCATATACTACGTCAAGACTGGAAGGACCTGAAGAGCGATTCTGGTCTAGACACATACTTCAAAAGCGTTGTCCACAATTTTGACAACAGCGCCCTGACTGATAAGAACGGGAAACTTCTAGCCTATATATGCATGCAGTTCAACGGGTCGATGGCCATGTTGAGTGGAAATACGGAGAACCAGGGGAAGGGCTATGGGCAGATTGTACTCAGTGACCTTACCAGGAAGCTTCTAGAAAAGAAGGAGATAGCCTATGGGTTCATCCCCACCAAAGATTCCAACATCATCAATATCACCCAGATCATGGGCTACACCTGGGTCCCACAGGGAAACATGGCGTGGTTTAGGTTTGAGAAGCTACCCTCTGTCAAATCAGCAACCACAAACGGATCTCGAGTCCTAGAGCATTCCCATTCTCAGGAAGATGGTGTGGGGAACTGCATGTTTATCAATGCTATACCTCTGGTGGTGCAGGAGATGACGGACCATCAGCCTCCCAGTAAAGTTAGTATATCGTAATCAGTGATAGGACATTTTAAACTGATGCACTCTTGGAGGAGGTCTTTCTCATCTTTCCGTTTATTGAAGTTCGTGATGTCAGAATTCAGAGGTCAATGACCCCATTGGTGCCAGAAGTCTTTCAACGCGTTTCTGTTATACCATGCCCACTGTTCCTTATATTGACGTGATCACATTGGGGGAAATATGCGTATGCATATTTTTTGTAATGGAACCACCGAGGGTTATATACTGTGCAGGTAATGACATTCGACTCTAGAGATGTGGTGAAAACGATGGGTCCTCACACGGACGGCCCCATGGGAAGCGGATCCAGCATTTTTAAAAGGGAGGGGCCGAAAATATCAAAATTCGCTCTCTGATAATTTTACTGCCAACAACATACTACATTTGGTTTTCAAAAGGGGGAGGGCTCACACCATCCTCCCTCTGGGTCCGCCTATGGGAAAAGCCCATTCTGGTGACCCTTTCCTAGATGTCGCCGGAATAATGCTCTACTCGGAGTAATCCCCGCCACAATCACCCACTGACTACACGCAGGCAGTGCTCGTAGTTCGGAATTTGGTATTGACGAGATCAAGCAACGTGAACAGAATATTCTGCTACCTCCTGTTCCACATATGTATATGTTTGCCTAGGCCACAATAAGGTGATCATTTGTTTCATGAAAATCATCTAACAATAATAGCTTTACCGCTTCTAGTTTCATATTTTCTTCCCGGGGGACACTGGATTCCCTGTGAAAGTTCTGAGACTTTAGGGACATCGATTTACCTTGCAGGTTCTGCCTGCTAGAGCTAGAAGTAAAATATACACACATCAACCTGCATAGTTTTTACTTTCATCATACACACAATATTCTCCCATAAGCCCCTCACTTCCGAATTCCAAATAAAACATCACTTTATTGTGGCCTTATCAAGAAGTTGTACATTTGAATAGATTTGTACTTCTTAGCATACTTGGTTTGTCTTTTTCAGTGTAGTTAATGTTGGTGCCTTGCGGGCGAACCATCGATATTTAGCAAATTAACTGGAAATGTATTGGCAAACTATGATTACCTTGGTGCCACTAACGACATATTTGTAGAAACGTAGTGTTTAGTTTATTAGCTTGCATTACATTGTGTCAGATGAACTACATCTGTGCTGGATCTGCCGCGGATCACTGAGAGAGAACAAATACTGTTTTTAATATTTTTTTAGCCTTCGACTTACGTTTAATCCGTGTATAGATTCATTCCCTACAGTATTAAACAGGAACAGGAAGTAAGACTTGGACTTTATTATCAGATACACATTCCGACTCGTCACCATCCAGTAACTGGATTCCGCACCTTAAGCCCAGCCTGGCTATAAGGCAATGACATTCAAGTATTTTTTCCGTGTTGCGGGTTTGAGCAAAACTGATGCGAAGACAGTCGGGTTTTTTCTCAAGTAGCGCTTTATCTTTGTAAGGGAGCGCAGAGAGCACATTCTAGTTAACTTTTCCTGGAAAATATACTCGTGAAAATATTTTTAGAAACTGGCGCCGTATTACTCGAGAAAGCTGCTTTCTGATTGGCTTATGTCGACTTCTTTTTTAGTCATTTCATTTGTCGGTGAAAGTTCGCGAAACGTCGTTCTGACGTGATTTATGGAATGTTCTCTATTGTTTAGCAGTAGCGAGACCTAAGATAGGATTTTAAGGAGAGTGATGCGAATCCCGAACATCATATGGGTGTCAATATCATGTTGACACGATGGATGAACGACGAGGAAGTCTTACTGCCTACTGACTGTTGAATACTTAGGGCGATGTATATTTTATGCACGTAGCTCACCTCGTATACCTGGGGACGTGGTTGCCAGTCTGTTGTCTCCAATGCTGGGCATGGTGCTGGTCTACGCAGCGATAGTATTCTTTGGAAACCACAATTGTTTTTGACAGGAATAAAGTAAAGTCGTTGTTATATTATCATGGCGTACACATTCGACACGGCTCTGAAGTGTTGACTGCCTCGAAAATCCATCTAAACGAAAAACACTTGTGATGGTGTCAATCTGGATTTTTGTCGTTTTGTTTGTTCTAGTGAACGGCACCTCGCATATATGTTGGAAAACAACATCAGTTTCTTTAAATTCGCCTTCGTTTGAAGGTCTGTTTATAAATAAGGTCTGATAACATGGTATGTATAAGAAAAGTGGGCAACCTGCCCTGTCATAGAAACCCATTCAGCAAGGAGTACCATCGCTGCGACTATGTGCTATACGCTCCCGTATTATGTGAGAGCGAGTGAGTGAGTTGTGTTTAACGTCGTTTTTAACAGTATTCCAGTTATATCACGGTGCGTCAGCTTCATGTGTGAGGAAATCCCGACGTGTACCACTTCGGTGAAACCAACGAGCACGGGTATGGTGCTGACAAACCTAGAAACATAATCGGGACGAACCGGGATTCGAACCCACAATCATAGGTTTCTAGCGTGCCCAAGGGACGCAACTCTGCTCAGCGAATCGCGGCGCCTTAGACGACAGAACCAGCCGTGCCCCGTATTAGGTTGAACAGCTGAGAAACGTCCTCCTGGGAACGGGCTTGTAGTGGGAACATCAACTCGTCATTCCTTAGGGTGTGAAATCATGTGGTTGTTAGGAACAAAACCGTGTCGAGATCTTGTGATTGTGTGCTGTGAATAATCAAATGAATTTATTAGTTATCCGTCTACACTTGTTTAATTTGTCTCAATCAAAATATGCAACAGATGTCTACTCGACTAGTGTTCCTTGCAGCTGTTGATGTGTATTTCAGTTAATTCGTTCATTCTCACTAATATCATAATATCCCAGCTAACTCCATCGGGCTGTAATTTTGGTTGCACGCAAAGCAAGCGTTATAACGAGGGATATGTAACAGTTACCGACTGGGATGGGTGCCGGCACGGATTTGAACACCTGTGCACGTGCCATCAGTGGCAGCGAGTCCTGCACACGAGTTCAAATTGATGGACACGATAGACAAGATTGGAAACGCTTTCAATTCATCCTATCGTCAGACAAGCTTAATGTAGCAAGGTATTCAAGTTGGGCATGGTCACAACGAATTGCTTATTTGTCGAATCGCCGTTACCTATTTTCTAATATGAAAATGTTTTGAGGCGGCTATTTTGAATTGAGGGACAGATTGTTCAATACACCAGACCTGTTAAAAAGAAGAAGAATTATTGACCTTTTATATAGTATTTTAATGCGGAATTTGTCATTTGAAAAGAAATAATAAACTAATTTGTTGTGGCCAATCCAAGCATCTGAATTGAGTTGAATGATGAAGGAACAATGACCAACGTTGAAGCCATTAAGTGTATTGTTTTTATTATGATGTCGAGTTTTATTTATGATGTCGAGTTTTGTAGACTTGTTATGATTTAACTGTTTGTTCTGTCGAGATGTTGAATGTTTGCAGTGTAGGAACTAAGATCTTTCTCTTTGTGAATGTCCTTGGCCCGAACGCTTCCATGCACCGCTGGCTCCATCACAATGATGGCTTGCTTAATGGTCGTGATTCATGTGTTTTGTTAAGTGTTCATTGCTTGTGATCGTATGAGATAAAAGGACGTACACCCCGAAAAACATACACCCGGTTAACATCTGTTAACACATTTCAACTGTAATCATATGCTCACATCTTTAACCGACTTGCATGAGTTGTTCCGAAGAATCTGATATTCATGTGTTAATTCGTGCAAATTCCAATGGTTGAGCTGTTTTCAAGTATACTATGATCGCTCCACAATGAAATACAACCTTGAACACACACGCAAACACTGGAGTTTCATAAAGCAAAGGGTCCGTTGCATGCACTATTTCTCTGAAGCTAGAATTCGCTTCCCTTCCCTTATTTGAAGCAGCCTTAACCGTAAACAAGTTGCCCTCTCATCTAAATGGCTATGGTTCTTGCCTTCTTGGTCTCCTTTGACCGTTTAACCATGACTGGATGTGAAAAGTCGCTATAGATAAACGAGTTGAGAGAGGGCCTACCTGGATGGTTGTATGGCCAACCTGGGGGTGGTATGGCCTACCTAGGGTGGTGGTATGGCCTACCTGGGTGGTGGTATGGCCTACCTAGGGTGGTGGTATGGCCTACCTTGGGGTGGTATGGCCTACCTGGGGGTGGTATGGCCTACCTAGGGTGGTGGTATGGCCAACCTTGGTGGTGGTATGGCCAACCTAGGGTGGTCGTATGGCCTACCTGGGGGTGGTATGGCCTACCTGGGGGTGGTATGGCCTACCTAGGGTGGTGATATGGCCTACCTTAGGGTGGTATGGCCAACCTAGGGTGGTGGTATGGCCTACCTTGGGGTGGTATGGCTTGCCTTGGGGTGGTGGTATGGCCTACCTTGGGGTGGTATGGCTTGCCTTGGGGTGGTGGTATGGCCTACCTTGGGGTGAAACTCGCTATAGATGATAAACGAGTTGAGAGAGGGCCTACCTGGATAGTTGTATAGCCAACCTGGGGGTGGTATGGCCTACCTAGGGTGGTGGTATGGCCTACCTGGGTGGTTGGTTCTATGCCCTACCTGGGAAGGTGGTATGGCCCTACCTAGGTTGGTGGTAGTATGACCTAACTGAGGTGGTAGTATGGCCTACCTGGGAAGGTGGTATGGATCTACCTAGGTGGGTGGTAGCATGACCTACCTGGGAAGGTGGTATGGCCCTACCTAGTTGGGTGGTAGTCTGACCTAACTGAGGTGGTAGTATGACCTACCTGGGATGGTGGTTTTGACCTACCTAGATGGGTGGTAGTATGACCTAACTGAGCTGGTAGTATGACCTACCTGGGATGGTGGTTTGGCAAGTCAAAATGGCATTCCAGCATACTAGATTGTTCCTTATTACACAGTCGTCTACGTATATCAAACTGTTGCACAGTTTTAATAAACATTATTTTAACTACCCGTGTTTTGTTGACCTATATGACAGTAAACTTACAGTGTGGCGATACTGCAGGAATTCATTCGGAACGGTTGTTGTCAAAGTTACTCACTTTTATGTCAAATTGAATTTGACAGAATGAATAATATTTAAGTATAAACATTATTTATCAGCAGCTGGCTGCAAATTGATGGCAACCAAGTAACTCAAGCACAAGTTATTTCCTAAGTATAATAATATTTATAATACTGACATGGCTACTGTACAAACTATACTATTAAAAAAGTAACTAAAAAAGTAACTATGCTTTATATAAGGTGGTGTAAATGGTATGTTATTGAAATAGCAACAAAATATTTAGCCATTCGCCTGATCAATGTGTTATAACAAATTCATTGATAGTTCCATGGTAACAGCAGACACTGCAGCACGACCTAAAAGAGGGGTGGTGTAACAACTCAATTGCCAATGTTAATATCTGGCGTGACCACCATTTGCGTCGAAACAGGCGGAGCATTGAAGACACCTGATGATTGGAAACAGCCTGGGAGATGATGTTCCATATGTCAACCAAAGATTGGTCCACCCGAGCCAGCGTTACCAGCTGGGTCCGGTCCTGTCGTAGGCGTCATCCCAAACATGTCCAATTGGGGAGAGTTCTGGAGAAAAAGCCGGCCTTGGCAGTACGGCAAGGTTATGCTGGCTCAAAATGTTTGTTACAACACTTGCAACCTATGGCGACTATTATCCCACTGCAACGTCCCTGCATGTGCACAAAGGGTATAGCACGATCTCCTACAATCTCCCGTTAGCGTACGCGCTGTGTAAGTACAATTGGGCATATCGCTGGACGTCGGGGTCAGATGTGCTCTCTCAACCGGTTGCGTACAGTTCTGCCATTGCTTGGTCACAACCCGTGAATTGTCCGAGCTGTTAATGTGGTAGTTTGATATCGATTCCGAAGATGAACTAACCGCATATGGACGGCCTGCCCGTGGCAAGTCATGAGTGTTGCCTTTCTGTAGATGACGTCTCTCATGAGATGGTATTGTGTTTCGATGAACATTAAAATGTCTTGCAAATTCGTTTTGCGTCATTCATGATTGCAAACCGCGGCATTAGGTAAGCGATATTTACGGTTAAACTTACGTGGTTTTGATAGCTAAACAATCACTGTGTGCTGTTCACATACTAAAAACCACTTACATGAGTATCGTGTTCCCAACAAACACACAAACATCTAAATTGTGCTCCTACCATGCACGTTCAATCTCTGAATCAAGACCATAAGTCAAGGAAATATCTTCATGATTTTGCATTAAAAGATGCATCGTTAAATTTCAGAATAAATTTAATTTATTGTACTTTATATCAAGCACAGGTACTTGTTTCCTTAGTATATATACCAGAAAAGTACAATTAAGTACATCTATGTGGAACAAATCCTATATGATATGACAACTGCTGCAGTATTGTCTGAGGCGTGATGGAAACGAAGTATTGAGTGGTACTTATGCAAGGCAATTCTGCTACATGACATTGTCTTCTCCGCATTCGTATGTCTAAACCCGATCTATAAAGTGTTAAAACGCATGTGCATATCATATTTCACAAAACAGAGGAACTGAGTCGTATGGCGTAATGATTGAAAGCCCTGACAAGACGACACAGCAGGGTAGACTCTTGAATCGCCAATCAGCAAATCCACTTGACCAATCACACGATCAGGGTAAAGTCTTATCTGTAAGGAAACCTTGGGGATTCTGGGTGAGAATTAGACTTGTGGTGGTCGCAAAAGGCGACCGAATGGATCGGGTGGTCAGACGCGGCGACCTGGTTGGTAGTGTGTCAACGTACCCCGCCGACGTGGATCGTTGCTCATAATACGAATCACTGGTTTGTGTAATCCAGACGGGATTATTTGTTTACAGGCCACCGGGATACGACTTGACTTCTGATTGCTGCGGCGTTAAACAACATGACCTCTCACGGTATGCTCTGTGCATGTATGATTAATTACAAGCCGTCATCGTATGGCGGAAATATTGACTGTGGCGTAAAACAACACACGCACGCACGCACGCACGCACGCACACACACACTTCATAACCACAAATAATCCAAAATATAATATGACACAGTTGCCAAGCTTGCTTAGAATCACTGACGGTAAGACTATACAACAGAGATACGCATTATTAGTATTTATGCATACTAGTATAGTGCATTTAATGAGATATATATGTGGAAGTTGTCACAATGCTACTTGTCTGAGGCATCCTGGTGATGTGTATGTGTGATGAAACATCGACTGTAAGGACGGATCTCGCATAGTGTACCATATGACAGGTGCTGTGCTGTGCCGTGTTGTGCCGTGCTGTGCTGTTCCGTGCTGTGCCGTGCTGGGCTGGGTTGGTGTACTCCTTGTGTAATGCCGGGCGTTCAGTGAACGAGTCGGCCTGGAAAAAGTCCGTGGGACAAGCTCCTTTACATCGCTGAACAGATATGGGCTTAAAAAGTTGTTTTTGGAAAACGTGTGTACACAGAAATCGTGATGATGATCGTTCATTCAAACATAATCTAACTTTATCACGGATAAGTTGGGGCTCCAAGATATGTAGTTATTTCTGTTTGAAGGGGGGGGCCCCGAGCAACACAACACACAGGACAAGAGGGTCGTGTTCCCACACAATGATATCTGTATCATGACGTCGTTAATCTTGAAGTTGCAATCTGGAGCTCACATCCTGTCAAGAGTTCCATATTTCAGGAGTGGTTTGGTGATGTTTTATTTTCTTTCTTTGTCATAAAGTATTTTTTTTAATCCTATTCTGGAAATAGGTATTCTAATCCGAACTGAAACTTTATGTGGATGATTCTATGGATAGTGTAAACAAAGTATGTTCCCAAGTAGATGGTAATTTGTTCTGTCCATTCTGCGAAATACAATTACAGGTGAGCTACAGAGCCCTTTGTCTTACTGAAAACTGATGACACACCTGCATTCCTACAATGGTTTTTTAGAAAACACCGAGCACTATTTGAACACGTTTGAAGGCATGTTGAAGTTCGTTGATTGTGCTGAAATATTGTGTGTTCACTCACACAATCCTCGATTATTTAGTGTTATGTTCTTTGGTGACAAATTCCAACATCAGAGTTTCGTTTCGCCAGTGACGTGACACCAATCACATCGCCAATTGCATCACTCGTCACCTCTCGCAAAGTGACCAAATCAAGCCATTCAGGGACAAGCCGAACCCGTGCCCCTCTCGAACGGAAAGATTCCATATTGTGAGAACAGGAGAACTTCAGACCACAACGGTAGCTCTTATTGCACCCAAGTCCTGTAGTATGACGTAGGCGTCACAGCAGCAGTCGCCTATTGCTGTTGAAAGTAGTGAACCCTAACTTATATAAACATATTGTGTTGTGTATTTAACATGCAGTTCACTTAATCTATTCTCAGCCGTTCATCTTGTCTTTGCAAATTTTTATTCATAATAGGTATTTCGAAATGGCAATGGCAGTAGGAAGGTAGTCTTCAGTTTATAATGATTCCTACAATGAATTTATTCGATTTTTTCAGTTAAAATCGCAGTTTTGATTTTGTCTTTCCCTTGCTTGAAACGCAATTTAAAACTAATTTATTTCTTGACTGAGTTTGTCGTTTCATCGACAGCTTCAACACATATTATATAAATTAATATCTCCATAGCCACCATGTCTAGACATGTAAAGAGGGACTTCTAATTATATACCAACACCATCGTATGGCCATTTTAATATTCAAAACAGAACTGCTCCCAAATAACCTCTATAAATGGCGAAAGAGGCGACTAAATGCTCACAATATCAGTCACAGGTTTGTCTGGTCGAGTCTCGACTATTTAGACGCCCGCGACATGTACCTGGCATACTCATGTCAAACAACAATCTTCAATATTTAAACCTCGTTGAAATATAAGTTGTTGGGATTTAAAAAAGAAGAAGAAAGAATAATTACAATCATATTAACTCATGTGGAATTAAACTAAAAAACTGAAAACTACCTTAATATTTATTGTCATTTTCAGTAAATTTAAAATCTCGGGTGGCATAAGTGTTATCGTTCCTGTTTGAACTAGTCCTGTTCATAAGTCAATATAAAATCCTTAGAGGTGAGATGGGGTGAAATGGGGCTTGACGTCGCGTTGAAGACTATTCCACTTATATTACTGTGTTTGGTTAGCTGCTTGTACTTCAGGAGAAGGTTACCAAGGCGTGAGTCGTTGCAGTGTGCCAGTGACCAGGCGCAGGACATAGCGGTGAGGGCAGTGGGGTAGCCTAGTGGTTAAAACGCCGAAGACCCGGGTTCGATTCCCGACATGGGTGCAATGTGTGAAGCCCATTTCTGGTGTCCCCTGTCGTGATATTGCTGGAATATTGCTAAAAGCGGCGTAAAATGATACTCACTCACTCACTCACACAGCGGTGATGTTTCAGCTACAAGTGGTAAAAATTAATTCAGCGAACAGGACTGGTTTATATGTAGATGAAAATCTAGGACTATAGCGGGCTGCAGCTGAGAAACATGCTTACAATTAAATCGGTTACAACGCACTTAATGCCTTAGATGCGGTATTTGGAGCGGATGCGTTTCAGCTAATTGTTCACGTTATACTCTCTTCACCGCATGACCATTCGCATTTTACGCTCTGACAACTGCGGCCATGCATAATATGGATTATTTTCTACGACTGTAATTGGTGCTGTTCTACGTGTTGAGGCGTCTTTGATGTAGCGGAGCTTTTTTGTAGAGAGGAAGCCATCTTTAATTCATGTATCACTTCACATGTGGACCCGTGAAGATCCGGCTTAGAACAGGTCTTCAGCAACCAATGTTTGCTGTATAAGGCGTCTATGCTTGTCGTAAGAGGCGACTAACGGTATCGGGTTGCCACTCTCGCTGACTTGGTTGATGCGTATCATCGTATCCCAATTGCGTAGATCGATGCTCATGATATCAATCACTGAATTGT